TCACAATGTGAAAAACATGCATATATTCATTCAGATTCTTCATTATTAAATTTCTTTAAATATAATACAGGGCAATAATATTTGGTGGCAACAATTTTAAAAATGATTAAATGCAGAAGCCTTTTCGAGACTAATATCACATTCAAGACTAATGTCCCTTTTGGGCTAACAATTTAAAAAAAAAAAAAAAACTGAAAATCCTAAACAAAGATTACTCGTTCAATGGTCTTTCTGTTCATGTAAGACTGTAAATTGCATCTCTAACATATGTAATTTTTTTTTTATTTCTCTTCATTTCAACATAAAATATTTAAAGTAGTATGCAAAGTTGTTGTTGTAAAAGCATTTTTATAGCCTCGAAATTTTGCAATAAAATAAATAAAAGTAGAGAGCAAAATGATTCCTCTAACCTTGTATCCAGCACAGTTTCAAGCAAGATCATGGCTAATTAACTTGTAATCCAAAGAAAATTGTAGACAGGAATTGTAGCTGAAACACATTTTTATTCATACAAAGAAAATAGATTAAGAATTGTTAGTATCACCATACAGATAAAAAAAAGGTACTTATGTAATATAGAGTGTCATATCACTGCCTTTTCTTGAAGGCGTGAGAAAAGTAAGTGTAAAGAATAAGCGAGTTATACAATTAACTCCTTTGCAGGGTTTCCAGTTCATTATGTTTATCGCGCTATTGGCAACAGTCCATCACTATTTGTGTACCAACACCATTATTTGATAGGCAGGATTGCTATTTGCAGCAATTCTGAAATTTCTTAAACACAGGCTTACCTAGTAGTTTGATGAGTAGATCCGCAATCATGTCAGAGCTCCTGCAGTCAGGATCCCGTTTTGTTGAAGTTCATGCAAGTAGTGGTATTTGACGTCTGTATGTTTTGTTCTAAAGCTATTTTTCTCCGTTTGTGATAGTTTGATGCATGACTTGTTATCTTCATAGAGAGTAATCGTCAGATTTTGTTTTAGTCCTAGATCTCTAAGCAAATTTAACATCCATTGTGCTTCTTGTACTGTATTAGCTGCTGCAATATATTCTGCTTCAGTTGAAGATAGTGCAATGCAGTTTTGCTGTTTGCTACTCTATGAAATGCAGTTATTTTCTAGTTTAAATATGTATCCGCTAATGGATTTTCTTATTGTTCTGTCATTTGCCCAATCTGCATCTGAATATGCAGTTAGTATAGGTTCTTGAATTTTGTTAAAGTCTTTAGTTGTGTATAAGTATCGAATGACTTCCTTGACAGCATTCCAATCTATGTTCCAACTTTTTTTCGCTTCTTCTACACAGTAGATTGACGGCGCATGCTATATCTGGTCTGCTGATTGTTGCAGTGTATAATAATGCCTCTACTTCTTGTCTGAAGTCTGTGTTATCCTCTAAAACAGTGATTCCCAACCGGTGGTTCGCGAAAATAATATTGTAATGGCGGATTTTTTAAAACGCCATTAAAATCAAAAGAAAAAAAATTAAAGAACACACCCACTGTAAAACAGATTGTTCACTGCCTGTTTGTTAAAAATCTATAATAAATTCATAATTAATTCTTTTTTCCTTATTGTTTTTAAAAAATTGCTTCATCAATCAAATGATATCAACAATTTTATATTATAATTTATTCCCTTATTCAATAATCAAACTATTCTCTTTTTATTACATTTATTTATATTTAAAACATTTTATCAATGTGATTAGAATCATGTTCTGCTTTATATTTAAAATGATTGCAGCAGTTTTCTCTTCTATGTAATATTTTTTTTTTACCAAACAATTGGAAATAAATATCAAATTAAGACAATTTACTACAGATTTTAGAATTAGATACTTGTTCACAACCGGGAACTGGGAGAGTAGTGTTGTAGTAACTGTCTATTTTGTCTGTCGACGTTCATACATAAGCTTAGCACTTGTAAAGCTTGAGTGATAGTGATACTATGACTGTCAAGTTCTGATGTAAATGATTTAATAATTATTAATTTAATTATTTTTATTATGGATTGATGGTTAAAAAGGGTTGTTTAGAAATGAGACATGATAATCCAGATGATAGTACTGAAAGCTGTAGTGAGGTACCGTTTCACCAGACGAAAAACAAAGGAAATAATGATAGAAAAGGGAAAAAGCAAAAATATGACAGTGACTATCTACGATTGGGTTTTCATTTTACTGGGGATGAGTCGGAACCTAAACTGCTTTGTGTTATATGTAACGAAGTTCTTGCCAACAGCAGTTTAAAACCATCACTTCTTCGTAGACATATTGAAAAAAAAAAACATCCGACACACAAAGATAAAACCTCTTTGAATTTCAAAAGAAAATTAGCAGATATGAAAAAGTGTAGCCTTTCTTCTTTCTTGACTTCAAACAAAGATAGTAAAATGGCCCTTGAAGCATCATTTCGAGTAAGTTATAGAATTGCAAGATCTGGACAAGCACATACAATAGCAGAAAATTTAATTGGACCATGTGCGAAAGATATCGCCAAATGTATGCTTGGGGAAAAGGCAGCAAAGAAAATTGAGCTAGTTCCCTTATCAAACAACACGGTGTCGCGTAGAATTAATGACTAATTCAACTTAATGAATCGACTTATGTAACAAATGCCGCCTACTACCAAGACTTGCTTGTCTACGTTAGATATCATTTTACGAATATTGTTCAAGAAGATGTACTATTTGCAAAACCTTTGAAAACCTGCACAACTGGAGAAGCGATTTTCGATATGAACAATGGGTATTTTGAAAAGAATGGAATAAGCTGGTCTTATTGTGTGGGTGTGTGTACAGATGGTGCAAAATCAATGACAAGAAAATTATCTGGTTTTGTGGCACGAGTGAAGAAGATCTACGAGAAAATCCAATGAACTCGTTGTATTCATAGACAAGCTTTAGTATGTAAGTGTATTCCTGCAGAGTTATCTACTACTTTAAGCAGTCCCGAATCTAGCGGGGGGGGGCCGGGTTCTTGCCTCGGGCGGCAACTTTTTTGGGCAGCAAATTCAAATATAACGCTGGATCGTATTTGATACTTTGTTCTCTAAAACAGCTCTCTAATTTTAATACAATGTTAGTAGTTTTAAGGACAAGTTTAAAAACCTCTTTTAAGAAGATTTATAATTAAATACTAAGAACCCTTTTAAAGAAACATGAGTTAAAATAAAGTTAAGCACAGCCGATTACAACTATAAATATAAGATCAGAAAGAGGCCAGTAGAGGGACTCCAGGCGTCACTGATAGAATCAGACTGACTCTATCAGTAACATCTGGAGTCCCTCTATCGTTTCCTGTCCTGCCGGGGTGTATTCAAATGAGAAATAGAACAATAGCTTGTTGAAGAATTCGCCTGGTTTCCATAGCAACTGGTTTCCCTGCTGGGAAATGGAGAAGCACTGTAATTATTTTTTAAGAGCTAACCCAAAAAATTAACTTTGGGCCATCCTGGATAAATGAAATAATTCAAATTAATACTCATCGAGTATATACAAGACACTGTCATTTTGTTTTCAAGATGAAGCAAGACATTTAGATTTTTATGCAGCCAGTTGGCAACTTAGGCTCACCTTTGGCTTGACTCGCAACAGTGGAGACCATTTTGGATTATTTTTTAGTTTTCAGGTCTCTTCTGTACACTTTTTTTCTCTCTTTTTTTTTAAGTATGCTTGCTTTTAATAGCCGGCACTATATTTAGCGAGACGCGACCATTTATTTAGGACTGTTGAGTATAATTATGTCAATTCTTATTTATTCTTATTAAGACAATTCAAAATGTATTCGTGACGTTCTGACAGATGCTTTAACTTCTTTTCATGAGATGGCGCCACCTGTCAAATCCAGTTCGTAATCGGAGCAGTAAAGTGACGTCATTTCTCACTCGGACTTCTCGTCAGACAACTGTACACGATGATAGCATGAACTGTGTTCCAAGCTCTGCATTGATCCCTGCAATGTAGTTTTTAATTGTAATTTTAGTACTTAATATATTCTTTTCTTACAGGAGACTGTTTACTCTTATTTTCTTTAGTTATTTCTCACTCGGACTTCTTGTCAGACAACTGTACGCGATGATAGCATGAACTGTGTTCCGAGCTCTGTGTTGATCCCTGCAATGTAGTTTTTAATTGTAATTTTAGTACTTAATATATTCTTTTCTTACAGGAGACTGTTTACTCTTATTTCCTTTAGTTATATCATGCATTACGCACACGATCACCAAAAGTGGTGACCTTTTGACTTTTTATACAATTAACTCCTCCCGCGAACAGGCTGGCTGCATGGGCATTTTCATGGTTTCCCCCATGTGTAACATGTATATGAGCCAGTTTCCCTTAGAAAGTCCTCCACGAAGGCATTCCTCCCCTCAGATAGCCCTTCGAGGCTTTGCCACAATCACACACACACGCAATTAACTCCTTTGCAGGGTTTTCAGTTCATAATGTTTATCGCGCTGTTGGTGACAGTCCATCACTGTTTGCATACCAACAGTTGTTTGTGGCTGTAGCATGTTTACTGAAATAAAAATTAAGATTTAATTTGCCTCTGCCATTTTTCTATTCATTATGGATCAACATTCTATGCAATCAAAATTCTTGCTGTTCAACATTCTATGTTCTTTGCTATCGGCATGCAATGTTATCTTTTTCACCGTACATATATATTTGGGAGGGTTGAGGAGGGAAGGGAGTTACATAGGTATACATATCTATGTATAACTAATGGTTTGCAGTTTATTGCACAGAAGACTAAACATGAAATGTAACTTATTACTGCACATATGTTATAATCTATAATTAGGTACTAAAATCTCAAGTGCTTGGACTGACTAAGTGTTCATAAATAGTTTTTGTTTATATAATGGAGAGAAATTTAATTTCCATATACTAATAATAAATAAAATTATAATTTAATATTGTTGCTGTTTGGTTTACTTTTGTTATAACTTATTTTTTTAGCTTTAACATATAACATTTTAAACTTTTTGTTTACAGATCCTGAAGGATTAATGAAACCTCCAGTTTCTTACAAAAAGTTATTATCCATGCCACATGTTGTAGTTGTTTGCCTTATTTTAGCAGTTTCATCTCAAGCTCAAGGATTTATAGATCCCACCTTAGAGCCCCATATGCGACAGGTTAGTGTTTTCATATGTCAGTATTTTCTTCAGCAAAATTTTTAGTTGCATGTAAGAATATGAGAAAACTTTTATGAATACTTTCTTATTGCCATCATCTAAACTAGAAGTTTATTAGTTATCATTTATAGGCCAAATTAGGTTAGTGCTCAATTTAATTCATTATAGCTATTTTACTTATTACTTGCAAATAACTGAATGAGTTGTACCATTAAATACTAGTAGTTTTGCCTTAATTTTCATTCTTAGTGACTGTATTCTGCTAGCTGTGTTAAGTACTTTTGTTTTTTTTATGTGTAAAGTGACCATTCTTATTTAGTATTCTCCATAGCATCTTTTTCTTGCAGGTAATCTTTGTGTACTTTATCACATTGTTTTTGGCAACATAAATAGAGATAAATAAAAACAGGCATAAATAGTCTTGCTGACCTTTCATTCATACGAAATATTTTGTAAATTTTGATTTTTCTTATGTCTACTGTTTTATAAGAGTTGTACTTTATAGGAAAGTAATTGATAATGCTAAAATTAATGTATATTTATTGCATGTTTAGTCTTCAAAAAGGGTTTTTCAAATCTAAATTATTTAAATATAGTTGAATATTTTTTTAACTAATGATAATTAATAATACAGTAAAATTTGTTTGGTTAGAATGTGTAGTTTTGTGGTCGTTAAGAAATAAAAAAAACTTTCGTGCACAGATTTTTAAAATTTTATGAGGCAATTTTAAATTAAAATTTTTTTCAGAGTACCAGAGCACATATAGATAAGTGGAAGGGAATTTCATTTATCAATATATGTCTCTTTTTCTCTAATGTACTTAATCTCTCATTTCACTTGTGTTTGAATGGCAACAGTGTAGAAAAATTTTCAATATGAGGGATGCTTATTTCATCTAATTATTGTCTGTACTGAAATGCTGGCTTCCAAAATCTTAGAGTTCAAATAAGTGAAAATTTATTGGAATTTAGTCAGAGCTGTAAGGAGTATGGCAGTAATTCCCAGACGCTGCAAGTCATGCAGTCATGTTTTGTCTTGAGGAAACACAATGTTATAAAACCATCAAAAACACTTTTCTTGAGAATATTATTCACATCTTTAAGAGTATAAAAATTATAATCACTATTCATAGCTACATCATGGGAATTAATATTCGCAGAAGTGACTGCAAGGGGCTATAAGCTGCCTGGGCCAGGACTACGCATAATAGTCATTAAATCATTCTCACTGTTCAAATAGAAGTCTGATCACCATACAGTGCTTGAAATTATCTACTACTAACAGCAGATGCCCAGCTATATGAAAATTCTGGAAAATGTGAACATCAAATATATAAAAATTTCAGATAAATGAGTATATAAAAAATGCAAAAAAGCCAATTAACTGGAAGAAGCAATTTTCTGTCTAAAATAATAAAAATAGTCATTTTATTTGTTATCAGACTGCAAAATGTTCGCTTGTGATATTTTTTCATGTGATATCACCATTGTTTATTCATTGTATATACTTTTCTTGATGCCAGGATCCCATAATACTCCACTGCATAATGTTCCATTTTGGCCATTCCATTTATCCAATTTTAATTATATTTTCAAAATGCAAGGGGAAACAGGTAAATAACAGTTAATATATACTCTTCACAAAATAAATAAATAAATAATAAAAAAAATAAACCTGCTTATCTGAGAATTAATGAGGTTAAATTCTGTTTTTATATATAACCAAGCCAGAGGTCTTATGATTGTGCTATGATGTCATGCTTATCCATCATTGGCAGTAAATCATATTGTTTGTTTGAAATGTTGTACAATTTTTTGGTATATTTGACCTTTTCATTTACCTGAATGCCGGGTATTCGGGCATTTATTGTATCACTGTTTTCTGCCTTCATTGACAAATTTCTTCACAACATACTGTTTCAATTTACATTCACAGTGTAATGGATGTTTGGAATATTGGATTGTTTTTTGGAATATATATGATTAGTTTTGCTCTGCCACATCAATGCACCAAGTGTTAATAACAGGCACCTCTTTGCTTAGAAGCATTACTTACTAATGAGGATTTTTGTATGTATCATTACACAATGAAGGCAGGAAAAATATCTTATATATTTCCCCTTTTAAAGGGTGACTGCAGCTTTAGGGGACCCAATTTCCAAATCCTGGTGGTGGAGAATCATCATTCACCACATTTTTTAGTTTGGGTGCCACTGTAGAGACAGTAGGTTATTTCGAAGCAGGAGAGATAAAAATTTAGCAATGCTCTCGCTGGGACTCGAATCGCGGACCTCTCTAATTCACGTCAAGTGTGCTGACCACTACATCACAAAGGCATGCTAAGAAGGCGGGAGAAATACCTTATAAATTAAATAAATGTGTTTACTCATGAACAGATATAAATTAAGAATCCTGTAAATATAATAATGGGAAGTCCAATCTATGAATTATGTATTCTGTGCAAAAAATGTCTTCTAATTTTCATCAGATGTAGCTATTTAATCTTATGCTAGTTTATATTCCACTTATCTAATCCGTATTAAATGAAAAAGAATGGTCTGCTGTAAAGTAACCTAAAGTTTATGAATGAAAGTCCAGTTCTTTTTATTTTGATCTTCAGTTTATCAAAAGATGTATAATGTTTTTAAAAAATTCTATTTTTCATCTTCCTTCATTATACTGTTGTAATTGTATTGTTAATTTTTCTTTTTTTGTCTTGAGTAGCATACTGTATCAATTAAATTTTTCTCATTCTACAGTATGGTTTAGATGCTAGCATAGTGGGTTTACTCTTTCTTCTACTGTCGGGTGCATATGCAATATCTTCACCTATTGTAGGATGGGTCAGTGGGAATGTGGTAAGTATTTAAATGCTTCAAGTATATTAATTTGATATTGAAAATACAGTGGATGTTGACACTGCACTATATTAATTTGACCTTTTTTATTTCTAATGTTGTTATTATTTATGCTTTATTATTATATTACAAATATGCTATTGTTAACTTGGATTTTTCACATAAATTTGTAAATTTTATTTTAATTTATATCAGCAGTGAGAAGTGAGCTATTGAATTTTTGTTAAATTATTAATTAAAATGAGGAAAATGTTTAATATTTTTGCTAAGTAGAATTTTATTGAGACTAAATTTGTCTAATTATGTTGTAGAGACATAAGGATTTTTTTGAAGCCAGAGAGATGAAAAATTAGCTACGCCTTTGCCAAGAATCTAACCGTGCACCTACCAATTATGAGCTGAGCATGCAGACCACTACACCATGAAGGCTCGCTCAGAAGGCAGGAGAAATACCTTATATACTCACCCTTTTAAAGGGCAATTGGGAATTTTAGGGGATCCATTCGTCAAATTCTGGGTGAAGAGAATCATCATCCAACACCCTATTAGTTCAGGTGCCTCTGTAGAGACATTAGGATTTTTTCGAAGCCAGAGAGATGAAAATTTAATAACACTTTTGCCAGAAATCGAACGGATCTCTCAATTACGTGCTGAGCATGCAGACCAACTACTATACCTCAAAGGCTAGCTAAGAAGGCGGGAGAAAGACCTTATGATGTTATTTCTGTTATCACACAAATAAGAAGTTGAAAGATTGCCAGATATGATTTGAACAAGCAATTTCTGTTTAATTTATAGTGCCAATTATTGGCATATGTTGCCTGTCATTGTGCTTCTTCTAACAATTATGTTCTTCACCGTTGAGGTGCCATGCGCTACAATATAACAAGCAGTAAAGTGTCTCATTTACGCCCCTCCGCGTCTGCGAGTGCAATTAGGAGCTGTAACTTGAGAAATAAACAATCTCGTTGTTAGGCGACATGTGCACCATGTTATTTTCATTTTTGCTCGCGTTTTGAGACAAAAGCATCTTGTCGTGCATGGCACATTTTTTTAGCACAAGTGGTTAAAAAAATATTGATTAAAGTTATTAACAATATATATTTTAAATGTTGTGTTATTATTACAAACTGTGTGAATTAAAAATACTCAATACAAACCCTTTGTTTTGAAGTTTCTTTCGGTCTGTGAGCTAACTGACAGCGAAACTGTCATCTTAACAAATTTTATACTGAAGTATAATTTTTTAATATCAATTATTGCAGTATCGGCTATAGAACAAAAGTTTTCTGATACTTTTTTTCAGTATACTATTATTATTTTCTTCTAAATTAGTTCCTCGTGCTAAAAGAAGCTGAAGTATTCTGTGTAAATGTACTGAATTTTGCTACTGGGAAATGCTTTTAAGTAGAGTTTCTTCCCTTCAAAATGTACTTAGCCTTTCGCTGTTTAATTTAAATGTATTGAGCATTTTTCTTATTAGAGAAATTAATGACATATGAAGTATGAATTTTTCCTGTTGCGGGAATTTTATGAATGTTATCTTAGTATATTTTGTTGAAAATGGAAAATTCAGATCCTAATTATATTTATTTTTTGCTTTATTTCAGGAAAATAAGTATCCCCTTATGATAATTGGTTTGATACTTGTCACTATTGCCATGCTTCTGTTGGGCCCTTCCGATATTTTGCCATTACAAGGGTATGATGTAATTAATTTTATAAAACATTTTTTAACTGCAGTTGTTGAATATTAAGTTAAAGTAACTCTCTTTTTTCAATTTTCGCAAAGATTTTATGTAACATGTCATTATTTTTGGCAATTAATTTATTCTGTAACAGAGGCATTTAATTTATTTTTTGATACACATGCTGCATTAATGCTTTTTAAATGAATATTGACCAGTCAGTATTACTGTAATATTATTCTGCTCAATATCGTGGATTTTTACATAGCTTTAAATTATTAAAAAGAATGTTGCTGATTAAATGAGTGTCTAGCATATGATAAACTGTTTTTTCTTGGTAAAATTTCATCTTCTGTTATACAGTTTAAGGGATTATTTTAGATGAAAGGAAATTTAAATTATTACAGTCTAATTTGTATGTATTGTTTTCTTAAATTTGATGTCACTTATGGTATTTGTTATCATAAGTTTGGATCCTAAGTGATAGGCTTAATTAAGATAAAGCATATAAGGGTTATCTGCCAGCAAATATTGCAGGTAACTTTATTATTCTTGACTAGTTTTAAATCATGCACTTTAAATACATGATGCTAGAATCTGAAGATGCTGTTTCATTGCCTGTGATGGCTATAGATCGTGTATACACTATATTATATTCTTTTCTATATGTATTACATTTTCAGTTGTAATAAACTTAAAAATTTCTCATACTGATTTCTACAGATACATATTATTACACTGTTTACTGTTAAAGAGGAGAATGTTCTGTAATAAATATTTCATGATAATGCTTAATTATTAAAAGAAAAAATATTGTGTATTCAGTTTATTTACATTTGGGAAATACTGATTCCTAAAATTATTCATAAATCATGTGTAACACCTTATTAAAATGTTTGTATTCTTTTAACAGATTTTATTATATTTATGTCCTTTTTATTGTGATTTATTTAATACAGCTCATTTCATTACATAACACCTCACTGTAGTAATATCACTCTATTAAAAAGAAAAATAGTGCAAAGTATTAAAAATTCATTTAGATAATAGTGTGATTAATGTGTTATTAGTGTGAGTGTGTTAGGTAATGTTAAGTGTGATTAAGCTCATTTCGTGTAAAACATGCCTTTTGATTAAAAAAAAAAAAATTGCATGCTTCAATGTTCAATTTTATTATTGTTCTGAATTGAATGATTTATTGCTTAGGAGTGTATGGCTTTCGATTGTTTCCTTGATTTTGATGGGGTTTTCCTTTGCTGCTGCCTATGTCCCTACATTTGAAAGCATGTTTATTGCAGCTATGTAAGTAATAAGAATTCACATAAGTATATTTCTAATTAATTTTCTCTGATATGCAAGTTTTCTGCAATGATTTTTGTTATTTTACTTTCAGAGTATTAAAGTTAGCTATAAAACATGTGTTAGAAATAACTGTCAGTTAAAGATTTTAATAAACATGGTTGAAAATCTTCATGTAATTAAATGATGCTTTTACTATGTTTTCGATATGAAGATGAAAACTACAAACCAGATTAAAGAATTAATGGAAGCAAGAACTGTAATTAATGGTGTTAGAGAAGGACATTACTATTTTTTTATTTTATGTGATTTTTAAGTATGAGTAAAATGTGAAACATGCTAAAGTTCTAGGGACTATTGTTTGCCTATGTTGAGTCAACTAAAAACTGTATATAGTTGTCCATTATATGCATGTACTTCTCTGTTTGATGTTCTTGATTATTTTATTTGATTATTTTTTATTTAATTACAATAAATTTGATAGAATAATAATAATTTAGCTCTGTTACATGTAGGAATAATATGTAAATAATAAAGTAAATGCTTAAATTTTAATCTGTCTTTTTTTAATTGCAATTAGATTAAATATTATACTGCCATAAAACAAGTAAAATGTTCAATTATAATTGCTAAAATCTTGATATACAGTCAAAATTTCATTATTACTGAGCAGTTAGGGAAATCATTTTTCTTTAGAAGCAGTAACCCCTCCTCAAAACAATAAAATTACATTTGTAATGCAACTTGTAGAAATGTGAACATTTTGGATCAAAGAGATGAGTATTTCTGCTGAATATTTTCTCTTTAAAGATAAAACTGAGGGATGATATAAAAGACTTAAAAAATTTTAGATTTCCCATCCCTTCAGAAAATCTCTGTATAATGCATGTTATAAAATTCAGGTATATCAGAACATTTGAGGGGGCGAATCGTATTTTTCTTTAAATTGAAATTTTTGTTAACGCTGACAGCAGATTAAAAAAAGAAAGAGTTAGTTTATATCATTCCTAATTATTATAGCAATTTCTTCTTACTTCAGTGCATTATTAAATTTCTTTATATTATAAACCTCATAAACAAATTAAACAGTTGTTTATCTTTTCTAATAATTCAAGCAGACAATATTAAAAAAAAATTGTATACACAGACATTAAGTTGTTGTTTAAAATTAGGGAAAAAGCATCTTTAGATTGTCATATATTTTTAATTAACTGTATTTATTTCAAGTTTGATCAAACTCAGGTCTCTCTTGTTCAAGAGTAGAAACTTTTTGAAAAGTTCATAGCACCTTCACACTTTTTAAAAGTAATAAAGAAGATTTTATCCATTTTGAATTTGATTGATCCAGCTATAAATTTCTGTTTGGAAATTAAATCAGGTAACTCTTTCTTGCCTTGGCATTCTAATTATCCACAGTGAATTTGATTTTAGCACTTCTTTTACAGTAAACCTTTTTTTCTTTCCTTGCATCCCCATGAAAAATAATGTCACCGTGCCCAACAAAAACAAACAAAAAAAGGCTTCTTTTTTTACTTTTACATACATCCTGTTCTCTACTGAACCTTTTCTTAGGAACTCAATTACTTGAAATGTGTAGCAATTAACAGAACGTTTTAAATAAAAAAATTAAATGAAGACATTCTGCCGTTAGAAATATCCATAATTATCTGGGCATTGTTCCATTTAATCTTTCTGTCAGTTAAAAATGCATAGATGTGGCACAAGTTTAACTTTCAAATCATATTGAACATTAAATGTTTCAATTACAATTCAGTGGTGTGTGTGTTTTTTTTTTTTTTTTTTTTTTTTTTTCCTGATTGAATCTTTATTTAAGCTCAAGATTTTAATGATTTGATTAAAATCCAGTTTCTTATAATATTCTGTAGCTTTGTTACATTATTTACTTTTGCTCTGCTGATTTATATTTTAAATATCTCATTTTCTGCTTTTTAGTGTTATATACTTTTTAACAATATTATTTTAATGATTTCGCTTCAATGATATTTTACATTTTCTTAATAGTCTTTTTTTCCCATTGTAGGAATGGTGGTTTAGAAGATGACATTAATACTTACAGTGTTGTATCTGGCTTATGGAACAGCATGTACTCTTTGGGGTATAACAAATTTATTGCTTATATATTTCCTTTTCTGTGAATTTCTTTCACCATTTTTGTCCTTTGTAATCACATTTATCTAAGGTCTGAATTGAGTTAATTTATATAATTATCCCAGTTAACACATTAGTTCTTAAAATCTAGAAATCGTAATTTAAAAATAGAATTACTGTAAAACTTGAATTTTCCTGACTAATTGAATGCACAACCCAGTTGGGTTGTGTAGTATATTTCACTTCAAAAAAGATTGTGCATTTAAAAGAGTAACATACTTTTATTTCTATTGAACAAAGTACAAGCAGTGAATGATATTTTTTTTTCCCTTCTAAGCACAAAACTTATCTCTATTTCATGTCAAATGATAATTTTTATATATGTAGTAAATTTTAAAACTAAGTACATAATCTTGTTTTCTTTGCATTAAAGTTGACTGGATACAATATTAACATGGTTTCAAGTCCCTTTTTAGAAAATAGTGTTACAGCTGAGAATAATTTATATAGTAAGCAAACAAAAAGTATATATATGTAAGATATAATAAAATACAATGGCTACGCTAAGAAATAATTGCCAACCTCAAAATTGAATATTCTAGATTTTATGTTCTTCCCTAAGTTCATCTGAACTCCTAAATTCAAGATCTTTCCATGTTACATAACACTGCTTATAATATTCTGTAGCAGGTATTTGCTTGAAAAAGGGGAACTAAAACCTAAAATTAGCTTATCACAGCTTAGCTGTACTTATTCACCTACATAGTATAAATACTGCATCGCAAGCAATTACACCATTTTCTTTTCCTAACTTCTGCCATGCAAACATTTCTGTGCTCCTATGCTTTCCTGTCTAAGATGCTTACACCATACTTTTAAAATGCATGTACATAAAAATTGGATAAATACCTTGCTTACCACAATGATTAATGATTTAATATGCACGAAAATAAAAATTGTTATACTTCAAGCTCGGTTATGTTAACTGTGGCATCATGCCTTGTCTTCTGAGGCACTACGACTTCACAAAGTGGAGCTCTGCCATAGCGGCCGGTGATGGAGCATAATGAAAAAGATGACAAATTGATGGCATAGAAATGTTGAATCTTTAATGAGCAGCAAACTTGGCAGATCAGGCATATTAAATATTTAACTTTATTTCAGTTTACATTTGAAATTCACTTGGCAGTCTCATTGTGCATATTCAAGAAAATTTACATTTTTAATATTGTTGTGATAGAGAGAGACCAGAAACTCTGCACTCTTCCTATAACAACTCTTACTAAGACTTTGTTCTCACTGTCTTAATGAGAACACAAGTAGAAGCAGAAGTGCACAGTTATCCAATATGGAAGCTGATTAAGAGAAAGTTTTAATTTAAGTTCCAAATTTGCTACATCATCAGTAGATGATAGTCAAGTCATATGATGATAGTGCAAGTTATATGATATGGATTCATCTAGAAATGATGCAGTCCAGAAAAAGGCATTTCTATTTTCAGGAATTAAGGGGTTATTTCTGGTTTAAGTTATAATTTTGATTTACATATTTTTATCTTACATATTCCCCCTTTCAAAGAGAAAAAGGCTTAGTGACAGAGAAGCCTTTTTAAGATATAAAGCATTGGCAAATGAAGAGAATAATTTGAAAAGTACAAATAATAAAATTTTATCCAAAATAGTAGTTTAAATAATTGAAAAATATAGACCTTGATAATATTGTCCAATGAAAATTTTCAATCCGAAAGTCTGTGTATTAAGTCGATATCATCATATTTTTTCAGGGAAGGCTTTTCAGAACTTTATTTACACAGTATCACAGCTATAAAAATTTTATACACCCATTATTTATTTCAAATAATCTCAACAATGTGCAATAAATTTGCAGTATTCTGAAAGGTCTAACTAAAAACCACGTGAAAAATTTTAACATTTCATGTTATTTTGGTGATATTAAAAAAGTTGAAATAGTTGGAAAAATATTAGTTTCAAAATGAAGAGCTTATAATATTAAAGTGAAGCTATCACCATGAGTGTAAAGAATTTTCTAGTATATTAAACATTTAAGAATATTGTAATATAATATGTAATAAAATATTTTTTGTTATAAACAACTACATTCATGCATTTTTTAATTTTGTAATACTGTGCGCATGCATTTGTATTTGCTTAAATATACACCTCAAAGAAATTTAGCAACAACTCTGCTAACGATTTAGTCAGGGATATTGGTGCAGAGTGAATTAAACATTTCAAAGGCTGACATATCTGAAATTTTTTAATGTTAGTGGGCAAATCCAGTAGTTGATCAAATGGTGGAATCATATTGTAATATTTTTACACTTGCTTCACCTAAAGATATTTCCAAATGTAGGTTTGTTTCAAATTCACTCCAGTCCAGTTTAGCTTCAAAATCATTTTTATTTGTTCTAAATCATTACTAAGAAAATATGTATGATGGTATTTTTTTATTGGAAAAAATGTCAATTTCCTCTGCATATATACTGTCATTATTTCGAAGTACATGATCACTATAAGAATAATTTGATAGCATATCAGCATATATTTCATTTTCATGAATCCACTAAGCTATTTTCAAAACAAGTAAAATTCAGGGTTGCCACGCTACCTGGAAAACCGGGAAAAGTCAGGGAATTCGAAAATTGACCAAAATATTCAGGGAAAAGTCAGGGAATTTAAGTATTTTTGTCAAAATCTGGAAAAGTCAGGGAAGTTCATACAAACGATCCCGCCAAAAAAGCGATTTTTGCGCCGACGTTGGAAGAGGTAACTTTTTTGGCGAATTATGTATCACGTGAGTGTCATTCGGGTAGCTGCATAGAGCCAATTTTCGCAGCTCTAATTTGATTGTCTTTTAGAAAGGCAAAGCAACTTTCCCGCAACTTTTGGTTTCCAATATTCTCGAGAATCGCATGTGCAGTGCATGAACTAAAGAAAGTACCTGTTCTCGTATAAAACAAAATGGGTTTAATCCTAGTATACGGTACTATGGAGGTTAGAATCAAAGAATATGTATTGTAAAGAAGGAAAACCTCTCTGCAACAGACGTGGCTGTGGCTCCGTTCCATCATAGAGGGAAACAGCTGTGCATGTCTGATATATCTGTCACCAAAGCTCGAAACCGGTGTCGAAGTTCGAAGGTCACGTTATCAAGAGTTCATAAAATGAAACTAGCGTCTACGGAGAGAAGGCAACTTTTGGGATCATGATCTGATCCTCCCGTGCGCATCTCAATTTGCGCATATATTTCCCCGCTCTTCGGTGAAAATCTGTTTACTTTACGTGTAATTACCGTGTTGATTTGGAAATTTTGTCCCATGTGTTCAGAAGTGCATGCATTTGTATTATGTATTTGTATTAAATCTGCATTACGTATCTGTATAATGTATCTGTATATGATTTACAGTTGAATACAATAAATAATAAATCGGTGTTTGTTTCAAAAAAAAGTAATTTATGTTTGGAGATAAAAAAATAAAATTTTTGCTACTGCAATATGCTAGTTTAATTCTTAGCAGGTAGGACTATGACAGAGAGTGCCTATTATTTGTTCCAGAAATTTCTTTATTGCAGTTATATGCTAAGCGTATGCGTTAAGGGGTATTAAACCGCTTATTTATGACACATATGAGCACATTCTGATGCATCAGCACATAGCTGAGCTTGTGGCACCTGAACAATGAATTGAACTATTGACATTTCATCATCTGTACAAAAGCAATGAAGTGCACTGTTTTTCATATATGCTGCCTATACTGTTAAATCAGTAAGTCGTGCATGTGAGACAAATGCATTAAATTGCTATTGCGATGGTGTGAAAACATGAATATTAATGTGACTTTTGAAAAAATACTTTAAACGTTCATTTTCATCATGTTTTTCTCTATACATTTACAATGTCAAGCTATGTTGGTAACTTACCTAGGTATTTGTAATAATATATCATTTTGAAAAAAGTATATTATATGTCAAGGACCAGGTTGACAAAGAACTGAAAAGAATTCTTTCTGTAGCTGCCAATGAATCGACTATCTGTGCAACAGCTGGAGAACAAAGTTCTCAGAATTATTATGCTCTGTGTTTTGTCTTAAAACATACATCAACCGTGATTTACAAATTAAAATTAATAAACTAAGAGGCTTAAATAGAAGTATCTAATTTTACAAGAACTGTATGAACCATAGCTGCAGTTTGCTTAATAACTCAGATGTCTGCGATTTTATAATTGAGCAGCCTTTAAATGGCTAAGGAGTATATAACATAACATTAAGCAATAAACTACAGTTAGCAAATTTTCAAAATTTTTATTGCTAGTTGTAAAGTTTATAATAAAGATGTTAGTGATGACCAATCCAGGTAGAATGTTAACTATAACTACTTACACATTACTTCAATCTTGCATGTATTTTTACTTACTGTTCGCCAGAGGGGTTGTTTTTTTGTTTAGATCCAGAGCTTTGATAATGTTTGCATACATGACAGTTCCACACAAATCGAAAAGTGAGGACACTTTCGCATAAAAGAAACATTCATTGCTGAATGGATAATAGCAATTTATATAGTTATCTAAAAATCATATCTTGGTTATTTTTCGATAACTTGTAACAGTGATATTTATTATAAATTTGTTTTATAAAATTCTAAGTTACTGGACAACAAAAATATAGATTTTAGCAAAATGTTTATCTTATGTATAAAGAATGAAAAATAACTTAAGTTGCTTTTAAAATGTGAAAATATCGCAAAAATATAACAATCTTTAAACCTCAGTTTCCTTACAGTTGAGTAATATAAGCATGAAAATTTGTATAATTTATATATTTTTAATTATTTGTAATAATTATGTATTTGTGAGTTTAGATCAATTAGTTGTTTTAAACTGTTTTAAAAAAATGAAGCAATATTATGCAGAGAAAGGCAGTGAAGATTGTGATCCAATGACAATGAGATTAATGTTTAAATACGAAATGAAAATTTGTTATTTATT